CCATGTTTTATTTTGTGTTGCCATAAGTTACGGCCCCTACACACGGCGGCGCTTCAACGCTTCTGCCCATTCACTTTGGATGGGGTTACGTCACGCCTTGCCGAACTGCATTGTGGGAGCAAAGAGGGAGGTGGCAGAGACAGTGGGTGAAACTGGTAGGTTTTCGCCTGTTTGGGGAGTTTATATCTAGTGTACTTCGTTTGAATGGACAGCTAGCAGGCATAGACAGTATTTAGCCAGCATGGAATGTTGCGTAAAATAGCACCATAGACATAAATGTCATAAATGTTCATCATATAAAGTGTGACATGTAAAACCTTTTATGCAATTGACAGGAGAGATTCATGTGATTGGTTGTTGGTCGCGTAAACTCCCCAAGCTCAAGACACGCCAACTGCCAAGCGGCAACGCACGCCGCCGTGTGTAGGGGCCGTTACCCCTAGATTCCACCGGGTCTGTCTGCTGCGCGTTACGGCTGCATCGCGGTTTTGGTCCGGCGTCTTACCCTACCGGGCGCGTTTCAGAAGCATTTCAGAAGCGGAGCGTCTTGCCTGCCGGCTCGCAGTTTTTGTTGATTTGGACATATTTCCTGGACAGGCTACTTTGTACAGACAAAGTTCATAATCATTGTAATATCCCATATATATATATATATATATATATATATATATATATATATATATATATCCAGATTACCCAGATGAATGTATCATTGCATGAAGTGATGAGTCCTTTCACAAGGAAAAAAACAAACATCAGGCATTTTTAAGAATGGATGACTTTGTGTATGACATATACGTACCATAAAACAAAAGATAAGACATCTTGTGTGTCTTGGGTTTGCTACGTTGTTTTAATGTCAGATAATTTGTTCTCAAAGCAGGACAGAAACGGTTGCCAGATCTTATAGTACTTTGCGATAGAGCCCCGGGTAGTGTGCTTTAACTACTCAAGTTTAAGATGGGGCATTGCTTCCTCTACCCAGCGCTTGTTAAATTACATTACATGTCACTTGTCAGACGCTTTTATCCAAAGCGACTTACATACTCAATACTGTGGACAATCCCCACAGGAGCAATTTGGGGTGAAGTGTCTCAGGGACACAACGACATGCTGACTGCAGTGGGGTTTGAACCTGTGCACCCACTGCACCACACGCTTATGAGACGGCGGTGCAGCCTTTTTCCAACTAAAGAGTATCAGACGTCTAGCAAGAATGCCACAGCCTCAGCCTGATCAGTTATTATTCGTGTCTCCTGTGGGACTACGCCAAATAATGTAGTCAATGGGTTTGCATCCACCGCCGTGTTACACATGTACGAAAAGGTTTTAAATATACCAGTCCAAAAAGGGGCCAGTTTTGGACAGAGCCAAAACATGTGACTTAGGGCTGGGCCGGGTCCCGACTGCACCTGATGCAGGTTGGGTCCAGACCTGGGTAAAATCTGGCCAGTTTACTTGCAGATAGATGTAACCTATGCAAAACCTTAAATTGTAGCAGCCCATGTCTAATGCACATTGAGGACGAGTGGACACATTGAATTGGTGCTTGCCAAATAGTATCTGATATAGTTATTCCCAGCTCTTCCTCCCATTGCCTCATTAAGTGATTAAGCGACGGGGCGGGGACCCTCTGAATATTGTCATATAATACAGACACCAGACCCCTGTCACAGGGATCCATATTTAAACAGTCAACAATACTCTGTGGGGCTGCTAGAGAGAAGTGGGTCCTGACATAACTACGTATCTGCAAATATCTGAAGAAACATGACTGTGGGATATTGAAATCCTTCTTTAACTGTTCAAAAGAAATAAAGTGTCCAATTTTAAAAAGATCTTTAACACACCTAATCCCTCTCCCATGCCATAACCGAAAAGATGGATCAGTGAGAGATGGAGACACATTTACATTTGCCAGAATTGGGGAAGCAACATGTGCCTGTTTGTGTTTGAAATGAATTCTACACTGAGTCCATATCTTTAGAGAGCCTTGGATGACTGGGTTATTCGTCCAGTAGTTTTTACTCAAGGGTAGTGGAGCGCAAATTAAAGAGCAAAGTGACACTGGATTACTTGAATGCTGCTCCATTACAGACCAAACTGGGGATTCGTCCGTCACATCAACCCAAAACATCAGCTTGTGGATGTTGGCAGCCCAATAATAATACAAATAATTGGGTAAGGACAAACCACCCTCCCCCTTTGGCCTTTCCAAATACTCTTTCCTAATTCGAGGTACAGCTTTATTCCAAATGAAAGTGGAAGTGCACTTATTTAATTCCCTAAAGAAGGATTTAGGGATGAAGATTGGGATTGTCTGAAACGGGAAATAAGAACCTGGGCATGATCGTCATTTGAACAGAATGAATCCTGCCAGCTAGTGACAGGGGGAGAGTCGACCATCTCTCCATGTCCAGTTTAGCCTTACCAAGCACTGTTTTCAAATGATTGTCCATCAGAGCTTTGTATTTGTACGTGACACAGACACCTATGTAAAGCTGTCCTCACACACAGAGAAAGGGAAGTTCTGAAATGACATTTGACGTGCTTTATCATTTATGGGGAATAGAACACTTTTACTCAGGTTAAATTTATAGCCCGACACCCGGCCAAACTCGGTGATAAGTTCCAAGGCAATAGGTATAGTAGCATGGGGATCCGAAAGAAAAAGAAGAAGATCATCCGCATAGAGCGACAATTTATGCAATTCTCCCCCCCTTTGCACTCCAATTAGACTAGCGGTCTCTCTTAACAGTATTGCCAGGGGCTCTATAGCAATATCGAATATCTGGAGGCTCAGTGGACAACCCTGTCGTGTGTGTCCCACGAAAAAGTGGGAAATAATGAGATATTATCTTATTAGTTCGAATTGAAGCTTTAGGCGCTGTATAAAGGATCTTGATCAGCCAACAGTAGGGTAGGGCCGAAGCCGAACTCCTTGAGCGCAGTGAACAGGTAATTGTATTCAATCCTTTCAAACGCCTTTTGTGCATCCAAGGATATAATAAGCTCTGGTTCGACATTGTTGGGCTGGTACTAGATAACATTGAACACACGGCGGAGGTTGCTTGATAGTTGTCTACCCACAATGAAACCAGTCTGATCTGGATGTATCAATTTAGGCATACTTTTCTCAATCCTCCCTGCTAGGACCTTGGTTAGAATTGTATAGTCGCAACATAAAAGACTAATGGGACGATGTGATTCACACAACAACGGACCTTTATTCTTTTTGAGTAATAGTGAGATGGAGGCCTGCGACATGCTGACTGCAGTGGGGTTTGAACCTGTGACCCCCTGATCCGAACACCAACGCACAACCCACTGCACCACACGCTTATGAGACGGCGGTGCAGCCTTTTTCCAACTAAAGAGTATCAGACGTCTAGCAAGTAGGGTAGAGAATGCCACAGCCTCAGCCTGATCAGTTGTTATTCGTGTCTCCTGTGGGACCACGCCAAATAATGCAGTCAATGGGTTTGCATCCACCGCCGTGTTACACATGTACGAAAAGGTTTTAAATATACAAGTCCAAAAAGGGGCCAGTTTTGGACCACAACGGACCTTTATTCCTTTTGAGTAATAGTGAGATAGAGGCCTGCGTCATAGTTGGGGGAAGAGCCTTCCTAACCAGGACCTCCTGGCCCCACATTTCTTAAAAAATTCACTTGGGTAACCATCATGGTGCTTTTCTGGGCTTCATTTTTTAAATTGCGTTATCAATCTCTGTCAAAGTTATACTTCTCTCCAGTCCAGATTTGTCTGATTCATCCAAGGAGGGCATTCCAATTTGACTAAAGAAGTCATCTACTAATTATTTGCTACCTGCCCCCGAGGTGTACAGATTCTCATAGAAAGACTGGAACTGGGCATTCATGTTTTTTTGGTCTGTAACAATATTACCTTCCTCATCTTTTATTGCAGATATAAAACCTGCTGTTGCTGACTGTTTAAGTTGATGGCACAAAAGCTTGCTGTCACGCTCCCATGCATGTTCGTAGAAATGAAAGCGTGATTTTAAGTGAAGATCTACAGCGTCCCCATTGGACAGAGAATCAAATTCTGTCTGGAGCTAAATTCTCTCCTTGTAAAGATTCTCCGAAGGCGATATTGAATGTAATCAGTCAATCACTTTAATCCTATCAATCAATTCTGTAGCTCGTTTGGATTTCCTTTTAGTTTCACCATGAAATATTTATATAATATAGTTAAGAAAAACATATAAACACAAGTGTTGTTGATGTATATCTTAAATATGGAGACCATTTGATGTAGTGTATATACTGTAGATGAATTGAGTTACAAACAACAATACAACTATAAAAAGTTAATGAAATTTAAATATAACAAAAAGGTCAAATCAAAGACAAATCGACAAAAGTCTGTCTACAATGTATTCATATACAATTACAATACTCAGCATTTTCTTTATTTCAATGTTCACTTTTAAATTCAACATTCTGTTTTTATTTAATCTTACTCTATTTTACATGCAAATAGTTTACTTATTTCAGCATATCATCTACACCATTGTGTCACTTTCACCATTATCTTGTACTATTTTATTTCTGTTTCTTCTTGCACTATTTCATTTATATATGGGACTGGGACTTCAGATTGAGATGACAATAATATGATTATTAAGTTATTATAAAGTTTTGTTTTTGAGTGCGAGAGCGAGTGTTGAGAGCGAGTGTGAGCACGAGTCAACAGAAAATATCCCTCCTTGGCTCTATTTGTCTTTAGCAAAATATATACAGGTATTTAAAAACACTAAACAGCATTTAATAAGAGCCCTTTCATGTGGATTCTACACTGTTGATTCTAGAGAACTCTATTCTGACACTGGAAAAGTACTTTTTCTGTCCATGGTTTACAAAGCAGTTGATCAGGGTCCCGGTGAAGTACAGGCTGGAGGCCAGCAGAGGCTGCCAGTAGTCTTCTCTGGTCTTAACATGTCCCACAGTAACAGGGACGTCTGCCTTTACCCTAAACAGACAAGGCCTACACTGATGCCAACCTGCAGGGCTCGTCATCAGACAGCGAGGATGAAGTGATGGGTCAGTACCAGGAGGCCGTCAGTCGCTCCCAGGGCCTGCGGGGAGGAGCCAAGGCCGCTAACACCAAACACAGCGGAGGGTTCACCTGGGAGAGCCGGCACAAGTACAGCGCGCTCACGGCGGACTATGACGGGTACAGCAGCGAAGCCTCGGCTGATGACGGTACGTTCTCAAAATAATTCTGACCTTTAACTTTTCTCGGCCTATGTACTGGGGCTCGGTCCCTATCAAGGTGGCCACAGATTTGAATGTGGCCCGTTAACTTTTATGGGTATGAGAGCAATTTTTCCAGCGCAATTGTTTTTTTCCAAACTTTGTAATTGCCTGGGTGGCCGCGCTCACGCATCTCGAAGATTTCTGTCTTTTCTTTGTTTTGTTTCTTCTATTTTCTTTTCTCCTTAAGACTCTATCTTTTTACATTTTTCTTATTTTTACATACAAATAAATAATTGTTACCAGATGTTCTATAGGTTTTTGTGCATGTAAACGGTCTGCAAAGGTTAACATCCCAAAGTCCCTCCAGAGTGAGTTTCTCTCCCACACACTCAGTTGGGCGGTTGACCAATCACAGCAGGGATGGCCACACTTACCAATCAGAGCAGACTGGGCTCTGGTTTCAGACAGAGGGTGAAAAGAGGTGCTGCAGCACAGGCAGTATGAGAAGAATAAAGACCTCTGAACATTAAAGCAGGGAGACATGTCCCAGTAGAGGCACAGCATACTAATATGAACCTGAACATGAGCAGAATAGGGCCCCTTTGAAAACATGACTTATTCACAATCTGAGACAATAACTGCCTCAATCAGCTGATTGTCAAAAGGGAAGTGGTATCTAAACTGCATGTGTGGAGAACAATTAATTAACAATGAATTAACACGTCAAAGAACTGACCCTCTGATTGGTGGACGGCCGCTGATTTACACAGTTGCCTCTATCTCCCTCTTTCAAATCTATTTCTCTAATAGAGACTAAACGAGATAACATTTTGCTAGTATTCAAGAGTTTTAGGGTTATTGCTATCCATACTCCAAATAACCTTTCTTTTTATTTTATTCTCACAAAAACATCCTCAAAGGATACCCCATCAATGAACTCATTTAATAGTTTAATTCATTAACTTTCCCCTGATTGCTGCAGTAAGCTTGATCCAGACACACAGACACTGCTTCACCTCTAAAATAACAAACACGAATGCACCACACACACACAGGGTACACACCAACGCACAGTGACAGTTAATCCGGAGAGGTGATCAAAGCGAAGCTTCTGTTCAGCACAGTCTCCGTGGGAGGGTTGTGAAACAGTCAACTGTCTGCATAATCTGCACAGCCCCAGCCTCACGCTTCTCTTTCTTCAGTTTTTTATTTATTTATTTGATGCATCTCTGCCTCCATCTGCCTGGCTCCACATCAGAAGGCATTTATCATGGAGGACGGAAGGCAGGTTCTTCTTTCATTTCAACGCAGACCAAGTCTCAGGAGAACACCGGCACTGACCTATTTGGATCAGTCTTTTATTTGACTTACACTTTCATTTTGCACCCTGAACGTGAATCCATTATTTGAGGTGTGTAACACACTTGACCTGATATATTATACTGCTGTCAACATTGGATTCCTCCAAGTGGAATGGAACAACAAACAAAGAGAGGCTAAATAATAAAGGATACATTCATTTTCAAATGTTTGTGATTAAGTGTTTTAAGGGACAGCTTGATACCACTGTCAATTCCACTCATGTCTGTACGAAGCGACAACCTCCAGCTTGTTATCCTAGCTTAGCATAACAGCTAGCCTGGCTCTGTTCCATTTACACTTGCACAAGTTCACTTTTTTCAGTTCTGATCCGATACTGCTACCTGCATTTTAAAATATCACAATACCAATACAGTATATCCATACCACAGCTCTTTTGGCATAGAACTAATCAGTTAGCGACAACCCTGCCAAACACACACAAAACAGGGAAAACGTCCGGCAAAAGCACCAAAAAAAGTTCAGAAATCATGAAGGCAGACAACTCGCATGATTCAAGGTTCAGGTTAAAGGCTTTTATTGTCATATGTACATAGCTACAGTGTAGTTATGACAATGAAATCCTTAGGTCACAGGCTCCTTCAACAGTGCAACAAAATAAAACAGATAGTGCAAGTAAATAAAATAAAATACAATATAATAGTCCAAGTAATTGGAATGATTGATATCCATAGGATAATTGTATCGCTATGTTATTGATATCGTTATTGATATCGATAGAATTATTAGGGTCGGTGAAGACCCTATTGTAATCGCTCGCAAGGCGAGCGACGACCCTGCAGAACAAACACAAAACAGGGGAAACGACCAGCAAAAGTACCGAAAAAGGTTCCGAAATCATGACAGTAGGTAGCACGTGCGAGCCTATGACTCGCATGATTGATATCCATGCGCTCAATTTAACAACCAGGGAAAACAACGGGCAAAAGCACAGAAACACACATCACAACATGGGGGACACACGCGCACTAATTCTTTATTAGGGCCCGAGCACGAGAGTGCTGGGACCCCAACGGTGTCCTAGCACGAAGTGCGAGGAACCTATTGTTTTCCTGCAGATTATTATTATTCTACTGCTACGAAATCGCGTTTTCAGGGCCTTCCTCCGGAGGGATGTTTTAAATATTTTGCACGGACATCAGGACTCTTGTTAAATGCGCGGATCGTCGAAAACCCGCTCATCGCTGCTTCCAGCTTTAATTACATATTAATATCAATCAGTATGTAGATTGTCAGTTCGATATCCGATTAGTGAATTATGTAAGTATCAAGCCCGATACATATACTACATCAGATCAGTCCAATCTTTAAGGTAACATAATTGCCCTAGCAGAACCTCTAAAGCTTACTAGATAACTTGTATCTTAATTGTTTGATTACTTTTTAAGGGAGTTATGTGCCAGAAACTGTCTGGCCAAAGGCTTTGAATTCCTAAAGCCTTTGGTGCATATTCAGCAAACTGAATACATACTGTAGCGGTGCTGGAGCCAGCCTGGCTCCTGGCATAGGAGTGGAAACAGGTATGAACAACCAGGCTGGTTGTTCATACCTGTTTCCACTCCTATGCTAAGCTAAGCTAATCCCTGTTGGCTGAAATGTATATTAAGACCACCAGAGAGACATGAGGGTGGCATAAATCTTATAATTTTGTAAGGGGGAGCGCAAAAAATAAACACCCCCGGATTTTGAACCTTTTCTTCGTGTGTGAATAAAAAAAAAATCCTTTAATTTTTATTAGTAAATGTTCAAATAAAAGGCTCAAAAGTAGAACAAATTTAAATTAGGAAAATGGGTCATTAAAAATAGTTTTTTTTTAAAAATGTAATTGGGATGTTTTGGGTTTGTATATAACATACACCTTATCCCTTGAGAGGTGAAGGTCTATTTCCCTGTTTAACTGCATCATTCTAACATTAAAGGTTATTTTAGACCCAGACGGACATATTTCAGCCGTGTTTAATGTCTATCTATCTGACATTGTTTTAATAAAACAAAAGCAACTATCCATAGTTTGCCAGGATCCTTGATGGGTGAATCATGTCTGGAGCAGATTTGTGTTGTGTTATATAAGACAGTGGGTTCCAATGCAGAGTGTCTGGCAAGATCTATTTAAAGCAATGTTTGAATGTGTAGCTGAGGGATAAACAGCGCATGACATGCTTCTGACTCCATTAGTGAAGATGCAACGCTCTGAACAAGGTTGACTATACACAAGTGCTGCACAAGCTGTTTGTCTCCTCATTGCCACTAGATGGTCCCTCAGTCTGAGCCCAGATATGGGCACCAGCTAAATCATCTGTGATTTCACAGAGAGATTTGTAGGTCATCTTGGGTGCACACGGATATTCCTGAAGTTGAATTGATATTGTAACACGAACAAGTTTTCTGTTAAAGGGTGAATCATCTAATAGAATCAAGAACACGATATCCGTATTTGTATCACAATCAGTCATTCTTCATTTTTGGGACTTCAAGGGCATTAATCAGTAATTTTGTAAAGTGGCTGAGTCAGGCATTGCAATAAGTACATGCCATCTTAAACACATTCAAAAAGGGTTCAGAATAAGAATTAAAATATATTTATCCATTAAGAGAAACATTTAAAAAATATGTTAAAATATGTTAAAATTTCAATTCTACTTTATCTCAATACCTAAAAAATATATGAACCAAGATGTCAGTTAAGTTCAAGTCTTTGTGGAATAGTTTTGGAGAAAGTGAGAAAAGTCATACAACATTAATACTTAGCTTAAGCAACGAGAGTGAGCCTGACCTAGCAACATGACGAAAAGAAGAGTAAAACAGCATGACTTTTGGTTTATTCCTGCACATACAGTAGTGGTAAAATCACAACTTGTCATGATGTACATCAGATTTTGAATGAATGCATTTTTTTAAGGTACCATCAAATACCATTAAAATACGTTTTTATATTTGGAAATGGAAATGGAAGCCAGTTCATCAATGAAAGCATTCATATAGCTGAAATCATTTTCACAAACAAGCGTAAAATGCATTGTAAATCCTTTTATACTGACGATTTTTACACTGAATCCATGCATGCATACAGATTTATAAGACCAATATAATACTTACAGTTTTACAACTTAATAATTGTTTGGAAACACGTTTCTGTGTTTTAATCAGGGTGATTATACTTGTGTTACAAACATTAATTTGACAGTAACATGCAATATAAACTGATAATGGTCTTCTGCCTAATAGGGTTTGACCTTGCCTTGTTCGCAGTTGTTACGATACAAACATTTAATCAAAGCGGTGTTTGACGACTTTTTCCAAACAACTCTCACTTACCACTTATCATTGTTCCAGACGGCCATCGTGGTTGATAATATACAGGTAGGCTTTAGTGTTTTGAAAAGATAAAACATAAGAAGGGCCCTCTTCGTGCCATTTTGTCTTTGTTTGTTAATTTTCCTTGCTCAAGTTTTTCTTTTGTGCACTTATTCACTTTAGCTGAACAGCCAATCAGAGTTCTCCATCTTGACCAATGTCCAATAACTGTGTTAGGGCCACAGTGTGTACTTTGGCAAATCTTGACTCTCTTTCCAGAAAGTGCCACTAAACAAGGGGGTCCTTGTAGTCGTAAAAAATAACAATTAAGT